CACACACACACACACACACACACACACACACACACACAGGATGATTTTTAAGGTTAAATTTCTAGTATTATACATGAATAAATAAAGTACTTCCACAAAGTCTAACTTTCTTAAATGGAACAAATGATAAAACCGGACAAAGATAAAACTCTTCCACTGTGCTGGTGACTCTAAGGCTCCTTCATTTTAAGCACTGGGACAATCCAAAATAACAGACCCTTCTATAAATATTTAATTAGAATTTAGATCAGAAGGCTGCTTCAGAATAGTCCAATATTTAGTTCTGGTTTTAGTTGTGTTTTGGGTCATTACCCTGTTGATTTCTAACACTGAGCAGAACTTTCCCCTGCAGAACGCCTTGATAGTCTTGAGATTTCATTGTAACATACGCAGATAACTTCATCCTTTAGAGCAGTGATTCCCAAACAGGGTTACGCGATCACATTACAGGAGATGTGGAAAAATTTCCCAGGTGTGTAAAAAAAATAGAATAAAATCGGACTGAGGTATGTAGGGCCCGATGATTTCCACAATGTGGAAAATGCAAACAGAATCACAAAACTGGCATGAAACGGAATCCTGTATAAAACAAAAAATCTCATGGCATTTGCTCATTTGAAGTATTTGATGTATTTTGGATCCTGCTGCTTCCTGCACCTGCCATTACCTGGTTCATTTATTTAATTACTTATTCCCTTTCAAGGCAACATTTTTATCTTTATGTTTGAGTTGAAAAGAATAAAACGTCTGAGAACTAAACGTTCTAGGGTGTTAAAGAAATAATTTTCATTAAATAATCAGTTGTTTTACATTATAGTTTTGGAGAATCATCACTACGTTTGACTGAAGGGGTACTAGTGGTATGGCAGCGTGGCTCAGGGGGTACACAACTCTGAAAAAAGTTGGGAACCACTGATTTAAAAGGTCAACTGAAAAAAAAAGTATTTTGTACAGATCAAAACTGATTTGACTGATTTTTTTCTTTAAAATCAGATCAGTTATCTAAGTATGCTCAGCCCCATTTACGCTTGCACAGAACAAATACACAAAGAGTGAGAGTCAGACATGACTCAACATGACTTTACTTCACTACGCAGTGAATTTACTCACTTAAAATTCCTGGGAATCAAACCGTCACATTAATCCTACTCTAAGCAGAGTACATCTGTACAACCAGAGTAAAACAGGCAGAGTATCACTGACAGTACTCCTAATCTCTTCCTGTTTGCTTCCAACTTAAACTCACTCGGTCCGTAATCTCAAGCTGGATTATAGTAATGCGTGGGATTTCTGTGGGCATAAATGCACAGCGATATCTGCCGCCTGGAAACTGACCTCAGAGTGTCGATGAGTTTGCGGTAGTCTACAGGCGGAGGGTAGATGACTTCCTCGATGACCTCTCTGTCACAGTGAGCGTAGGCTGTGGAGACGTGAATGAAAACCTCCAGGTGCTTCATCCTGTGGGCCAGAGCCAGCATCTTCTGTGTGGCCAGGACGTTTAGCTGCATCGAGTCTCTGAAAGAGGCGGTCAGTGTCAGTCAGTGAAATAAACAGGAGGCCTGGCACCATGTCGTCCTTATTCACTCTCAACACGGTGAATTTTTTTCTAAATGCTTTCACATCACATTAATGAGGACACAATAAAACTAACAAAAGCTTTTCTTAAAGGCTGTGAAAATAAAGCCTCAGCTGTAGCGGTGTCTTTGCTTCAGCAGAAAACGCGAGGCGAAGCGTGCCAGGTGTTTTGTTTCTCTGCTTCCTGCAAACAGCAGGAATCATCTGTCAACACTGGTGCTTTCACTGCCCAGCCGAGAAAACAGTCAGAAATATCCCACGGTTTCCTGCCTGATCATCAGTTACTTCCATGGAGTTGTGCAGCATAGCAGAAAGCAAAAATAAAGAAGTAAAGTGATAAAACTAAATAAAAAGACCTACTTGAGCGGCTCGTTGAAGCGCACGGTGGCGGCGCAGTGGAAGATGACGTTGATGTTTTCCACCAGGAAGCTCTGATCCTCTTTGCTCAGATCCAGCTCCTGCAGAGTCAGGTCGCTGTTCACCGCTACGATCTTCTCTGCAAAGTCTGGCTGCTCTGCTTGTAACTTTTCAAACAACTGAGAGGAGAACGTATCAAGTCAAACTGATGCTTGAGTTTTGGTACACAGCAAACAAACAAACAAACAAACAAATAACTCTTTTGAAACTTTTTAAAGCTTTTGTGGCTCATTCTTTTTTAGTAATGTGGAAATTCAAATGATAAAAAGTGCTTCAAGCACCAAAACTACCAAATAATCTGATTTTATATTGAATCACTGAATAATTGTTTACATTGATCAGCAACCCTATCTGCTGCCCCTCATGTCAGCTTTAAAAGGATCCATGGTTAGTTGTAACATTAGACTTTATTTGATAAACATTTATTTTAACTGTAAAATAAAGACTGTAAAAATACTGTAGGCTTTTTAGGTTTTAAAATTTTTAAAATATATTTTAACATGGACTGAGTCATTTTATTTACACGCAAAGCATTCTGGGTAAATGATGACGTAGATAGGTCCTGGGTGCGAGGCTGCTAGCGAGCTATATCCACCCTGAAGGTTAATCTTGGACAATATCTGATGATCGACTCTTTTAAATGAAACCAGAGAGCGTTGACAGAGAGGAGAAGGTAGAAATGACTCAGCCTGGAACTGAAAATATGGATGGAGGACAACAGAGCTGCTTCATGGAAGAACAACCTCAGCTTAGCCTGTTAGCCTTCATGCTAGCATCGATGCTATCATCATATACGTATATGTATTAGCTCAGCGCTACACATTCCCCTCTTGTCACTGAGGCCCTCCATCCATATGAGAGAGGGGAACGCAAAAATGACTCAGCTGCAACTGAAAATATGGATGGAGGACCTCAGTTTAGCTTGTTTGTCATGCTAGCGCTGAGCTAATACATATAAGGCAATATAGCGTCTGTGTTAAAGCTAACAGGCTGAGGTTCTTCTTCCATGAAGCAGCTCTGTTGTCCTCCATCCATATTTTCAGTTCCAGGCTGAGTCATTTCTACCTTCTCCTCTCTGTCAACGCTCTCTGGTTTCATTTAAAAGAGTCGATCATCAGATATTGTCCAAGATTAACCTTCAGGGTGGATATAGCTCGCTAGCAGCCTCGCACCGAGGACCTATCCACATCACCATTTACCCAGAATGCTTTGTGACTCAGTCAGTGTTAAAATATATTTTTAAAAATTTACAAAACTAAACACCCTACAGTATTTTTACAGTCTTTATTTTACAGTTAAAATACATGTTTATCAGATAAAGTCTAATGTTACAACTAATCGTGGATCCCTTTAAAAACTACATACAACAATAAATAATGGCATTTGGACTAATTATAGGTAATGATACCTATAATTGCTGCTTGGTAGGCTTTCAGGAAAAGTTTGCAGCATTATGCTGCGTTCCGTTTACATCATATTCTGGGAACTGGTAAATGGTAGTGACGTCATTTCCCAACAAACCACATGAAACTGCATTCCAGTTAGCTGACAGGAGATTGTATTGCTGCCGCTAATCTAGCTACAACACTGCTACAATGTAAACAATGATGAAAAGAGAGCTGTACTCTACACGTCAGGCAAATAAGCATTGATTTTAACACGTACAGTATTGCACAGAAAACACACTACTTGTGCGAGTGATTAAACATGCACAAAAATTAAGAAAGATAACAGTAAAAGTTACGGAGTTCACTTTCTAACGCTGCTAGTAGCCGCCATCTTGAAATCGAAACTGGGGGCAGTTTCATTTTCTTCCACTATACGAGTAGAATATAACCACTGGAGGGGGCGTTCCAGTTTAAATCAAACAATGGGAACAGGGAAATTTCCACTTCCCAGGACTACTGGAACGCAGCATTAGTCTGAACAGAAAGCAGAGCTCTTTACATTTCACACACACCACACCCCAACTGTATCACACTGTCAATAAAAGTCAGTGACCCAGTTCTACAAGCTGCTATACGTGCTCATACCATCACAGCACCTCCAGCACATTGTCAAACATTTCTTTTTAGTATCTGTGCGTCTCATCACCATGATTCAAGCTTTTATTTGTTGCTTTCATTACTGAGCAAACCTCTCCGTTTCTGAAATAAATTCTCTAAATTTATTGTGAAGGTCACCGTAAGATAGCGTTATCTTGTTCTATACGTGTCCAGGTTAACTGCTATTTTAGCCTTTAATAGATGAAAGTATTCAGATCATTTAAGAGAAGGGCGTTATGACTTCTTGTTTTGTAACTTTTGTTTTATCATTTTTCACAGCTCATTTCAGCAGAGTCATTCAGCCCTCAGCAGTCCTCCAGTTTTATCTTTTTGGTCCATCTGCCAAAAGGTTACGATTCACTGAGACTAGCAGTAGGTTCACATGCTTGCAAAGACTTTCAGCAACTTCTCTCCTTCCACAGCTCCCTGATAAGACCCGCTCAGCCCCCTCTCAGAGCCCACCTCTCACCTTGCAGTTGATCATGTCAGCGACGCGGGCCTGAGGACTCTGCCCTGCCTTTGACCTGACCATCACATAGACGGCGCCGACCTCCGGGCAGGACCTCAGCAGCTTCTCCAGGAGCACCTTTCAATAAGAATGAAGAGAAATTAAAATACAAAAAAAAAAAAATCATTTTTAAATCTGAAGCATCCAAACTGACTCAAATCCAACAATAGTCTCTCTGTTTAACGAAACATGATGGTGAGGTCATGTGGAAGATTTGAGACACCAGGTCTGCTGTTAAATCGAGAACTGCAGCTCTCAGTTTAAAACATGGCACGGTTCTGATTTTAAAAACTTGTTATTCCTGCTTCATGTCGGGTTTAAAATCAGAATAACAGGACGTGTTGTGAACCGTTCAGGTCAGCAGCCTGTCACATGTTTTACATTCATTATGTTGGTAGCAGCAGGAAACAAACCAGATTTCCAAGCAGCATCTCTGAGCAGCTTTACAACGTATCCTTTCCAGCTAAAGCACTTCCGTACCTTCCCCATGAAGCCTGTTGCTCCAGACAGCAGCACTTTTTTCCCCGTGTAGTATTCTGGGATGTTCACCATGATGGCTGCAGACTTGACTTGGGGAGTTCCTTGATGGCACTCCCACCTGCAGAGACAAAAAAGAAATAGTTTTTTTTTAATTATTCAGAGAGAGAGAGCTTCCCCTCTACACGGAGATGAACCACAGCTCTGCTGCTTCGATGTCAGGCGTGAGGCTTCGAGGGATTACTGACGCCTGTCAAACCTGTCTTATGTTGAGTGGAGTTATTTTTACAATGAACCTGCTGTGCTCTGTCAGGAACACATAACGGGCAAAGAGACAAAGATTCCAACAGACCAAATGGAGACCGAGAACAAAATCTGAAAGAAAAAAAAAGCCTCAGTTTACCTGAGTAGTTATATTAATTTATTTATGCTTTTCTAAAGTGAGCGGTCACAATCAAATCCATCCAAATGAGATCAACAGTACTTCTAGGACAGATTTTCATGTTTAACTGGTGTAATTTGAATAAACTGAAGCTGTTTATGAAGCTTCACTATTTATACGACGTGCGATTGAGGAAGAACTTTGTGGTTTTAAACTGTTTCTTCTTTTAATCGATGTCTTGGAGTGCAGAGAGAAACAACGTAGGCATTTTGATCCAACTAAGTAAATAAAATTATGCACAATATCATGAGATATCACGATGGCGTTGAAACCACAAGCAGCCTGGTGAAAACACAGTGTGACAAAAGACACGCGTACAAACAGGAGCTTATCAGTCAAATTCTGTTTGTTTTTAAGAAGAATGACTCCGTCAAAGAGATTAACAGGCTGTTCAGGAGATAACGCCTGTAATCATTAATTCAAATAACTTTCTTATGCAAGACTGAGTGACTTTGTATCACTGAGTCCAGCTCTGAACGAGCCAAAACTTCAAATTAAAAAGTAAAACCATGAAAATAAATACAGTACAGCTGTTTGAGTCTGTTTGAAATATTATTTAAAATGTCCAGATCTCAACTGAATAAAAGTTTTAAACAAATAGAAATTAACTTTTTGATTTTCAACAACTTCTGTTTGGATCATTTCAAAATAAGACTCTAAAAACTCTGCAATCAGGAGAGTTACTATATTCTTTTTTAACAAAAAACTGATAAAAACAGGAAAATTACTGTATTTTTACTACAGTTGGACTGATTTCTTTCATTATTACAAACTCATGTGTAAACTTCTCTTTAATAGCTTTGAATTATCAACAAAAAACAACAACACGATAAATCTAAAGAAATAGAATAAACAGTTTAAAACAAAATAAAAATCTTGCCATCTACAGTATATATGCTGCCTGTGAATTCTGCCGTCACACACACTGCTCCCGTTTCTGCCCAGCAGAGGATTAAAAACGATCAAAAAAACCATTAATTATTTGAGGAACGGGGACATTAATAGAGTATTTCACGCTGCTATGACAACAGCTCCACTACGACTGCGTGGGCTTTGTGACTCCTGTGGAACGAAGCGAGGAAAGCTCGCTGGATCTCGGCTCAGTGCAAAGCTGCAGATGAATCGTTTGCCAAGTGGCCGAGTCCAGCTGAGCTCCTGTCGGAGCTTCGCTGTGACTCCGGTCAAACGAACACATCAGAGGTACAACTAAGTACCAACGGTTTTCATCAACGCTGCAGAGAAACAACGTTTAGATGTAGATAAGTACCTCATGCAACTCAGTTAAAGCAGTTGCGATATTTCAACATGTGTGATGCTAAAATATATATATATATATATATATTTTTTTTTTACACAAAATAAATCAATCAAAGAATAATAAATAAAGACATTCAACTATCTTTAATTCTTTTTTTGCATGGACTATTTTTCAGATACCACCATCTTTGCCTAGTCAAAGCATCATGGTCCAGTTTGGGGGGCATCCGGTGCCAGTGTGTAAAACTGAACGACGGTGAAAATAGGTTGTGGAGATCGATGTGCCGTGTTGTGTTTATGTGCAACAAATGATCACAGAGACGTGAAAAACTTTGTTAAAATAAGCCTGCTTTTTATGTACTGAAAAGAAAATATATAAAATAATAAAAACATAAGAAGATTGTCGCTGCTTGGTCGAGTAACATAGATCTAGTGCTAAATATATTGTTTACAGTGTTTGCCAACTACAGATCATTTTGACCACTTAATATTACAAATATAAGTAAGGACTATATTAAAACTTGAACACATCTATCTAATGGTGTACAGTTTATTAATTAACAATATACAGCATGCAGAAGACTACAGACCACAATATCAAGTGCATTTTAGGGCTGTGTTTTGGTAAGAATTTGGCGATACGATACATATCATAACAAAGGGGTCACGATACGATATATCCCGATATATTGGGATACTGTAAGCAAGGCAATATATTGCGATTTTTTTGTCCAAAAATTCTATTAAATAAAAACCTCTTACTGAAAAAAAGAAAAAAGAAAAGCTAATGTTTACTTACAATGCTAATGCTACCCTTACTCTCTGGCACTCAAGAGGTAGAGGAGCCAAATGGCTGGCTCCCTGCTGCCAACTAGTGGTCAGAGGCTGAACTACAACATAAAAATGAACGGTTGGTAAGAAGGTTGACATTTTAAACCTTAATTAAAAATCGATACAGGGCTTTAGAATATCGATACAGTATCGGGAAATGAAATATCGCAATATTTCAGTGTATCGATATTTTCTTACACCCCTAGTGCATTTACCACCATTAAAACAAAAACACATACTTTGAACTAATATAAATAATATTTATACCAAATTGTGTGTGGCCAAGAAGGATACTCTGCATTTAATGACTCACAGGTCGGCTTGCCTCAAGATTATATGTTTATCTCTCAGTCCCACTGGTCATAATGCTGTTATGATCACTGTATACTGGGATTTTCTCCACCAGTAGATTTGATAATGTGGGCTACTAATAATTAATACATTATACTTAGTTAAATTATTTTTACTACAGTATAATCTTACCTCCATTTAGCATCTTCGGATTGCTATTTTAGGCAATAATCCCAGCATTTGAACAACGTAAAAGTTCAGGACAAGTGTGTCCTGTTTCTAATTAGATGTTGGCCCATCAATAATCAAAATTAAGATGTGCAACAATCCAATTTTTAAAGTTTGACAACGTGTCTCATCATTAACTTTTCTTTCGGTTGCCTCCAAACAATCCCACAAACACTTGTTCGCCGTTTCCAGCAGGCGGCGCTAAATCCACGAAACAGTCACTTGAAGTTTTGCCAATGTCCTCATGTTATCATTCACGATATACAGTGGATATAAAAAGACTACACACCCCTGTTTAAATGCCAGGTTATTGTGATGTAAAAAGAATGACAGCAAGACAAACATTTTCACAACTTTTTCCACCTTTAATGTGACCTACAGCCTGTACAGTGCAGTCAAAAAACAAACTAATCTTTCAGGGAGGTGAAGTAAAAATAAATAACTGAGATAGTGCGGTTGCGTAAGTGTGCACAACCTTTTAGAACTGGGGGTGTGGCTGTGTTTAGATTTAACCAATTACATTCAAACTCGTGTTAAATTGGAGTCAGCACACACCTGTCACCAATTAACGTGCCTCTGATAAAGTTCAGCTGTTCAATATCGGCCGATACCGATATGAATACCGATATATCGTGCATCCCCACAACAAAGTATTAGTTTAAGGGTGTGCATATTTACGCAACCAGAAGTTTATTTTATATTTTTCTGCTTTAAAGGTTTTAGTTTTCTTTCCAGCTGTATTGTACAGGTTAAAGGTCACATTAAAAGTGGAAAAAGTTGTGAAAATGCTGGTCATGCAGTCATTTTTTTACATCACAAAAACCTGGCATTTGAAAAGGGGTGTGTAGACTTTATAAATCTACTGTAAATTGACAAAAACGCTCATGAAAACCAATTAAACCATATTTCAGTTCGAAACATGTGTGCAAAATTATCTTATTTTAGATTCAGATAAAAACACTGTTGTTACATTTTACTGTCTGGCTGTAGCCAGTACACAGAAGAGCCTCCATCTTGATGCCACAGCGTACGACCACAAAACCTAACAAAAAAATGTGTCCCTCAGAGTGAAGATGCAACGTCAGCTACCGAACTTCCTTTTTAAGTAAACAAAAAGGCCAGAAGTGAAAAAAAAATGCAGAAGTGGTGAGACGGTGCTGATAATTTCAGAGAGGCATCAGAACAAAGCGCAGCCTTCAGGGCTGAATTTAAAACTATTTATGCTAGGTTTGCAAACAAAAAGGTAAAATCCAACAGCGCTCTGCAGCAGAGCCTCATAGTTCCCAACCAGAAGGGAGGTTTGAGTTCAGCCTGATTTACAACAAGTCAAAGTTTCATGTTTCAATTAACGGAGCAAAGATCAGATCAAAGTTTAGGAGCTTTAATTTTCAGCTGTCAGACACTAAACCATGGATCCAGAGAGCGAATGAAGCGAAACAATGAATCAATTTGTAGAAACTAATTAGGGGTGTAAGAAAATATCGATGCGCTGAAATATTGCGATATTTCATTTCCCGATACTGTATCGATATTCTAAAGCCCTGTATCGATGTTTAATTAAGGTTTAAAATGTCAACCTTCTTGCCAACAGTTCATTTTTATGTTGTAGTTCAGCCTCTGACCACTAGTTGGCAGTAGGGAGCCAGCCATTTGGCTCCTCTACCTCTTGAGTGCCAGAGAGTAAGGGTAGCATTAGCATTGTAAGTAAACATTAGCTTTTCTTTTTTTTTTTTTTCAGTAAGAGGTTTTTATTTAATAGAATTTTTGGACAAAAAAATCGCAATATATATCGCAATATTTTGCCTTGCTTACAGTATCGCAGTATATCGGGATATATCGTTTCGTGACCCCTCTGTCATGATATGTATCGTATCGCCAAATTCTTGCCAATACACAGCCCTAAAACTAATGTCTTGCAAAACTAAAACTCATGACTCGTGATTTTGTTCGATGAAATGTAACACATATCTAAACCACGTTAATTAGCTCGTGCAGCAGCAGTTTAAACTCGTCACGCACTTGGACCTGCCAGCCCTTGTGTGTAGTGCTTCCCTGTCCTCTTTAAACCCAGC